TTCGAAGTCGGTGTATTTTTTTTCTGAAAATTATTTTATCACTGATAAAATCAGTAATGTATAGTGTTTGTAAAACGTATTAAAAAAATACATATTTCCTCGATATTATGGTACACTTCAAACTTTTGAGCAATAGCGCATGTAACCGTTTGTCTATATGAGGTACACCTAAAGTTTCACAGTGATTTTTATTTCTCATTAGTACGATAATTTATCTGTTCTTATATAATTTGTTTTAATACTGGGCGTGAAAATGTATTAAGATATGAAATTAGAATATTCCATAGTTCATGAATTACATACTTTAAGCTCAAAATTCCATGTAAAAATTTTGAATATTTTAAGAGTTATTTATCTTATCAATATTGTAACCTGCTACCTTTTTACAAAGTCGTTCCAAAGAACTGCTGTACATATGTATATAGTAAATACGTAAGTATGTGAAAAGGTAAAAACGGTTACTTAGACAATATTTTTTCGAAAAAGCGAATAGTTTAAAAATAATCTATATGTCATATGCATTTTAGTATGGAAAGTTTATTACATCAATTAAAGATTTTACTCCATAATTGGCTAAGTTTCTAAACGTAATTTCTAAGGTATTATTAAATCAGAAGACAAGGAGGCAAGTTACTACTATTTAGTATTATACTATAAATAATTAGTTTTTATTAATTTGTTGCTAGTTTATTATATCATTTTACCTCAGTTCCTTGTTCAAGATCTGTATTGGGAATAGCTGAATCGGTAGTGTCTTTTCCGACTTTCTCGTCTTTGTTTTTGGCTTTATCTATTCCATCATCTGGAGCAAACATCACGCCTTTCCACTTCAACAAACCTTTACTGCCACCAGGATCATCCGTTCCCAATATTTTTCCTGAAAAATCGAATTTATGAGACACAAGTTATAGTAAATTATTGAAATTTGTAACGATATACATATATTGTGAAATTTTTCGACAGTGTTATCAAAATATGTAAATTATTAAATATTCGATATACGAACATTTAAATTATTGTTATTATTATAGAAAGTAGATAAAATAATTGACAGGATATAATTTCAGCACGGAAATATGTTTAGTGCTGACAAAAAATTTTTTCAAGATTACCGCGAATGCCATTTTATTTATTGACATTTAATGCCAATGAAAACAATTTAAATGGTCGTCTTAAATGCATTGTCATACTCATAGGCCATATTTCATAAAATCAGTCAATAAAGTTAAAGTTAAGCATGTAGTAAGCCTCAGTTTGATGTACATATAGATCTAATTGTACTGTTAGTGTAAACTATTACTTAATTGAATTTATAAATTGTTACATTGTACCATCACTGAAAAATGAATTTAGATGACAAATGTATTGTAGAACGTCATCCATAATGTGAATGACAATTCACTTACACTTTCGCGTCAGAAATCTGTTTCACAATATTCGAAAAATATTCGAAAGATATTGAACAATTGTATATAAAACAAAAGATGCCACGGTTTAATTATATTACTACAGGGATATTATTTAACAATTATGAAACGAACTATTTAACAATTATAAAGTGAATTGTTCGCAAACAAGTAACACAGTTGAATTGTATGGATAAGAAAGGTGGCTTGGTGTGTTAGTAACAAGATATTGTACGCTTATGTGTTAATATGAGATAAGATAGTACTGTTCATTATACACCAGTGACGTATTTTTGTCAGTTAGCTTCTACATTTCTCAATACGTATACAGCTATATTTACTTATATACAATATATTCACAGTGGTCTACATGTGGTGAATATTGTAATTTAATTAATTATATTTTGACTATAATTTAATATAACGTATAATACCTATAAGAATCTACATACATCACGAACATTTGATTATCTAAATTTTTCTGATTGAAAGAAGCAATGTGTACGATGTTATTAAAATTATATTTTATTACGTAATTACTGCAAAATACTTATATCCGTATTAGTATCTAATTCTTTACAAATTATTACAAGGAAGAGTAATAAGGAAAAAGATGTTTAAAATTTTAATTTCAAATTATCAGTTGGGAAAATTATTAACACTAATCCTATGAAATCGGAGTGATCAATTCAGGCGTTTTTTATTTTAATCTTTAAAATGATTTTTTTTTAATTTGTACTGATTTTTCTGGAAATAAAGAATGTTTTATTGTTTGCTTTGTCATGTTTCTACTGCACTTTTAATTTCAAAGTACGTGCGTATTATCCGCTGCTACAGTTAGTATTAATATAATTTCAATTTATGTAGTAAGAAAATTAATTATTTACTGATTTTTTTATGAAAAACGTTCCAAATTACTTAAGTGTACAAATGTAAATTTGTCTAATCAAATATGAAGAAGTAATGATGCTATTGTATTTGGTTTATCAAGATTTAATGTGATACTAATAATTAAGTTTATGTAGGAATGACTATAAAAAATTAAAAGTCTTTATTTAAAAATATTTGTCAAAATTTGTATTATTTTTTAATTTAAATATTGTATGTTCGATTTTGCATTGTATGCTTTGCTTAAACTTTCGTCGATTGAATAATGAGTTGATTATCTTTTTACTCGTGAAGACCTAACGCGCTATCATACAATGTGCGGCGATTTAATAATTTGATTATTCAACTTATAACGATCTGATACATCACTATATCACGCATTACGATTTAACGGATAATTATTATGTATCGCGTGACGATCTAATGCATAACTATGTAATATGTGACAAACTATCACATGACCACACATCACGTGGCAATGTAATGTATAGCGGTATGACGTCTAACTGTAATGTTCGGCTAATCATAAATCGGCAATGTAAATGATAATGGCATAACGAAAACCTGCTGTATCATAAAATGAAACATCAAATAACCTGGTATGTCTTGGTCACTTGAATGGGTAGCCTTGTTTTTCGTCATGGTATCGATACCTGCGCTACAGGCTGGATTGGCGCTCTGATAAGCGGGATTCTTGTAACTGAACGCGGTTGTACTCGAGCTACTCGTCGAGGAGAGTACCGGTGGCATCGAGGCCGGTTCCGAGGGTAGATCATTGTCGTGTTCGTCGCTGGACAACGCGTTTATCGTTCTTCTCTCGTAATCGGTCTCCGTTCCGTTATTCCCTTCATCCTCACCGATAATCGGCCCGCCTCCAGGATACTCCACATCAGAGTCTTGGCTGCAGAACTGAAAATGAGGCTTTCCCTGGGGTGCTGATAAGTCGAGAAAACTCGGTCGCGCCGGTGCCTTCGAAGAATCACTGGAATCGCAAACGTCGTACAGCGGTGGCGGATCGATTATGTCTGTTCCAGGTGTGTTCGGTTGGGAATTCGTTATCTGCGTTCTGATCGAACACTGGTCGGAATCGGATGTCTCTGCTTGGCTGGCCGTCGATGTCGTTTGCACGCTTGAATGCTTCTCCAGAGTTTCTGCAAGGATGGATGTTTTAGATCGTGTTTTATTTTTTGTAAATGGGGTTTAAAAAGCCATGAATCTAAGAACCTATAAACGGAGCCCACGACACAGGAATTAACAAATTTGCGGCAGATAGGCTCTATCTTTATAGAATATGCGGCGATCGAGTCTTTCCGTCGCATACTTTATGAATCTAGATAGACCATAATTACATTCTATACGCACAAACACCTACTTCGCGGCGTGCTGTCGAGTTATATGTATAGAAAAAAAAATAGCTATACAAGCTTTGCCTATGTTCGACTGTCCAAAGGTTGACATGTTCAAGAAAATCTTTTAATTTTGTGCCGCCTCCGAAAAGGTTGAAATGCATTTAATATATATACCTAACGAGTAAATAGGTTTCATTCATACCTGTTACGTAATTGTATGATTGAATGAAATAGAAATTACTTCATTAGGAAATAGAAATTATTTTATACTTTTTAGTGCATTTCGAAGTCGGTGTATTTTTTTTCTTAAAATTATTAAGTGTTATGATCAGCGAAATATATATCTTTAATATAGTACCCCTAGGTCAATACAAAATTGCAATTATTAAGTTATTCTGTTTGCTTGTTAAATTGTTTTTATTTTTCTATGAATAGTTACTTAGCTTTAATGAAATGTGACGAAATAATACCTTGATCATTATCGGTATTAGGTGTACGCGTGGCAAGTCGACGAAGCCTTCTTGGCGAATTGCAAGATGCTCCAGGTGATTGTTTACAACTAGAACCACTTGATGTACCTGGTGAGAGTTTTCGAACTGCTAGATCGCAAAGCATATCTACGGCTTCTTGCCTGCAACAATATTTGAAACATAATGTTTGGACGAAATACCATGATTTTATTGATTGGCAATTTAATATTTAGTTGAAAAAATAAGAACGTTTAAACCTTATTTTCCTTTCCAATGTATGATATCACTATAGATAAATTCATAATTATATACAGAGTCGGTGTAGCAATATTCTTTGAGTTTAGAAGTGAACAATTTTGTAAGTTAGGAATGTAGAAGTTTAAAAATTTGGAAATTTATGAACTTGTGATTTGGGAATTTTTAAATTCGAGAATATGAAAGTCAAAATTTTTATATTTTGAAATGAGATTTTTAAATTTGAAATTAGTTTAAAGTTAATTTTTCAATTGTAGCGCAAAGAAAGTTGTTTTAAACAAAATTATTTTATTTACAACCATATGTATTAATACATATCTTGCAATCTGCATATACATATGTGAAGCATAAATCATGTAATTGATCCGAGTTATAATTTTGGCTTTTATTATAGACAGAAGAAAGTCGTAGAAGATAAAGTTGCATAGTACCTACAAGGACATTTATTTTTAATTTTATTCGTGATTTTCATGAACACAACATTTGAATTCATTTTCAAATGTTGGAAATAAGCGACACTTTTTTTTGTACGAAATCTCATTTTCGAAAAAGTTAATGGCGAAAATTTATTGAATATACAATCAAACTTTAGATTGTTGAATTGATCATTTTGAATTTCAATAAAAATTTCGGAAGCATATTTTTTTTTAAACAAATAACTTATCGATATATTAGAACTAACATATTGTGTTGCTAAAGTAGTGTGTAAAAAGCACGGTTCCAAACCTTATTCTTTAAAAAGTTTGTACTTTGTTCATCTTTTTGTTTTTAAAGTTTATGAAAATTTTTTGATAAAAAATGTAAAACTTTTTAAAATGAGATAAAAAATCCTATATGAAGAACATAAGGATAACTCAACACATTAAGTACTCTAGATTTGTTCGTAGATGATCATTGTATCAGTAAAAAAATGTGGTAATAATATGTTTTTTGGTACTCTTAAAATGATATTGTAATATACAATTTATGGAAGTACGTATAAATCTTCATAATATGTAAAATTATGAACTTAATAAAAAATTAGTAATTCTTCTTGAAATTTGTTTAACTGTTCCAAACTTTTGACTGACATTACTTCATTAACATTACTCCTAAATGTAATTGAGCATAACTGAATTTATGATTCAGTTTATGATTCATTTATGATTCTTTGAATTTATTCAACATTGTTTATTAAAGATAGGAAGTTTCACACGAAAAAAATGTCAATGGGCCTCAGGCCGTGTTTGTACCTAAGAGTCAATTGAACGAATACGTTGCAGACCGTTACTTTTCCTCAGGAATTGGGCGCCAGTTTTACTGTGCGTTTTAGAAAAGTTTTTCATTTTTAGTTCGCTCCTTGAGCCGTGCAGACGTTTCCTAGTCACTTCAGTAAATTCATTTATTTTTAAACATTCTTAGTATCTATTTTATTTAAATAAATAACCACCCCATACTCCAATATGCATATTCTCCTAAACACTCAGCATAATTATACAGAATGTTTTTTAAACGAAATTATTTTTGTAAAAATGGTTATTATTGTAGAATATACGAAAGCATTAACAAATATTCGAACAGTGATTTGAAACAAATGAATAGTTCTTCAAGAAATGGAACAAGATAATGGAAAAAAACTTTTTGGCGAAATGAAAAGCTCTGCAGTCTTTCAACTGGAAGAAGGGTGCATGTGAATTAACGAAATTTCACGTTCTCATTAAATCTCAAAAGCGGTTTAATCAAAGAAAGAGAAGCTCAAAATTAAACGAAAAGTTTACCTCAAACTTGTTCGCGGTGGACGGAGCGGATGATCAGGTTCGGTCGGAGAAAGCGCAGAGACAGGAGTTTGCGCCAGATCCCTGTAAAGTCGAAGCTTCACGGTTGGTCCACATTGTCGCAACAATTGGACAGCCTCTTCGTGGCTCATGGGCGACAATGGAGCACCATCTACAGCAACTATTTTGTCTCCGGGTCGAATTCGGCCGTCACTTAACGCTGGTTCTCGCACTAATGCTCTCACATAATGACCTAACGCACTGCTGTCTGCCTTCCTCAGGGTAAAACCCAGGCTACCATCGACCTTCGTCATTTCTATGTCGAACTCCTGCAAGAAATTATACAAGCATTTCGTTTAATTAGATTACATACGGATCGAAAGTCTTAACTTTTTTTTGCAAGTTAGGAAACTGCAAAAGAGGAGCTGAAACTATTCTTGAGACAAGTACGAAGGAAAACGAAGCTAATTATAACTACTTTCATTACTTTTGTCATAGAGCATTTTAAAGTTTATCACATTGTAACAAATATTTTACAAATTTTTTATATACTGGATATGAAATATGTACAAGATTTGGTCGTATTTAATCTGAACTTTATCAAATTATAGCGGATCCATAAATTAAAAATTTTGTGGAAGTATATTACAGATCTTTCTGAAATAAATAAGAAATTCGCTTCCAATATTTTTTAGCATTTAGTTAATTTCTCGATGTGAATGAAACCGTATTTGTAAGAATTGTCCTTGGCACTATTATTTTATTCATCAAATTATGTAAAATTTTCTATTTCAAAATTCACTGCTTGATGTATAACAATTCAATAAAATAAATACTGACCAATTTGTTTTTCGTATAATTCATAACCTACAGAAGTCATTGTAGGTGATATATGTATAAACACGAGGCATTCATCATAAATGCATCGGAAACTACGTATTCCGCAGGAAACACCAAAATCTAAATTGTAAACGAACTTCGATCGGCTTTTGTACACTCCCGGGGATTTCCTAGGTGTAACAGATAGTATATTCATTGATCATTGCGTTATGAATGTTAATTGCACTGCTAGCTCCACTCAGAAACAAGAGGAAATTGAAAATGTATATCTTCCTTCGGTAGTCAATATACACTTGGATCCTTTTGCACAACTATATTAGTATTAGTTATTGGTAAAATTGTGCATGTGCTAATTAGAGTACTGTTATGTGCTAATTAGACTACTCGTACTGATTCTTACGCATACGTACGAATTAAAAAATATTCAATTATTTATACTAGTTTTTTAAATAACAAGATTTTAAGAAAATCTCCGTTTCAATTCTATTTTAAGTAAATGCAAAATTATTGTTTTCAAATATTTTTGGACTTGAATCAAAATCGATTAAACACTGATTATCCTGAATATTTTTATGATCTCCATACTCTGTAACTAGTGTAATTTCTTTATAAAATTTGTATATTGTTTTCGGTCTTTAATTAAAAGTAACTAACGGCTATGATTACTTATTTCCAATAAAAAATTATTGTTACAAGTTTAAATTAAAGTTTTTTTCGATTTCACAGAAGCACTATACATAAATATTCATTGAAATTATTTTATAATTAATTTTTACTTTTGTACTCAATTTTTCATTAAATAAATAGTTATCCTATTTTTAATAAAAGGAATATGAAATAGCAAATTTCTTAACATTTTCAGAAAGTTGAAGACACAAAATGGAACGTTGAAAAAGAGTGGAAATTGTGTAATCGATAAATTGATAATTTTTTTCTAGCAATATATTAATTATATTGCAATTGAAAATCGTATAAAGACATTTGCAACAAATAAATTTCATGCTACAAATATTAACATGAAAATTTGTTTTTCTATGTTTGTGTGTTACGAATGTTTTCTTAAATTTGTACGAGCAATTTTCGAAAATGTCGTAGATACATTTTTTAGACAGGAAGTACATTTTTTGTAACGAAAGTGGAACTTTGAACAAGAAGAGCAACACAACAAAAACTATTTCATTTTCAACTGATATACTTTATAGGTATAGAATTAATGACTCGTAATAATAATGCAAAATACGTTAATTCAAACGCTATAAAATTGTAAATGCGTTTTTCTTAAGATTGGATGTTTATAAGTGGTCATCGCGCTTATTTAAATATTACTAAACCCATTTATTTAACTGAAACAGTGAGGCCAAGTTTAGACCAGATTTTTTCGCAGAAGGGATTCTGTCATGTTTGATATAAAATTAAAGGTTTTGTAACGCTGATCAGGAATATACATATCTTTTTGAAAAATCTGGCCCTGTACTCGAGAGAATATGGTCCAAAGGTCCGCTTCCAACAGATGGCGCATAGACAATTTGATCTTTTTGAAATGCGAAAATTACCAGTTTAATTCTCATTTGACCGGAAACTCATTTGTACATTTCAGAGTACAATCAAAGAGTAGGGTTATAACAGGAGACGACACTAGACAAGGAAACCTACCTCCTAGAGAGAGACAGAGGACATAACCAATTTAAATGCCCAAATCAAAAGAATTGGGGGTGCGCATGTGTATAGTGTAAAAGTATGGCAATCGAAAAAAAAATATTTTAAACCTGCATATTCACCAGTAATTTATTTGTAATAAATATTTTGTCATATCTCCGTAACATCTGTAATTTCTAGTGATATATAGTTTTTAACCGACTTCGAAAAAGGAGGAGGTTACTCAATTCGATCAGTATTTTTTTTTTTTTTTTTTTTTTTTTCTATGTATGTTCGCCGATTACGCCTAACTGGGTTGACCGATCGGAACGAAGCCTTTTGCATCTGTTGGGTTCAGACTCCCCATTGGTACCATAATCAAAAAATTTTTCATTTTTTAATTGCAAAGTGTTGTTATTGCAGAAAAACCGGCAACTTTTAAAATAAACTTTTCTCGATTTTAGTGCGCTTTCAATATCTTATCGCGGACATGATTCTGTACAATTTTGTTCATATACAAATTTCGCGGAAATGTTTAGTTTTCGAGATATTAGCGAAAAAAAGTGTTATTAACTTTTGAAATCAACTTCGAACGATTTTAATGTCCTTT